GTTGTTGTATTTTAACTCACAAAATTGGCAGACGACTTTTAATACATTCTAAATGTTAGTCTACAGGTGCAAAAATCTTGAGCAGCACTAAAAATGTGTTTATCCTGTCAGCATGGTCAATAATCTACAACTTAATTATTGCAGATAACTTGTTTCCGTACATGAGCCCTTGTTTTTCTGAGTGTGGTGTCATGTGAAGCAGGTGTTGCCATATTAATTCTCCAGGTACAAAAAATATATGTATATATTTTGTTCGAAGTAGGTTGAGTCCATAATAATAATAACGCAACATTTTATGATGAAGTGTGGAGCGCTCTGAATGTCTGTTAATCATAGTTTTTCTTGTCAAGACTGTTCAACTTAATCCCATAATCCACACAGCTATTTTCCCTATTATCCCTTCTCACTGACAGGCAGATACAAATAACCTCAGCAGGGACCAATAAAGAGTCGGCGGGGCAGAATCACCCGTCCAAGGATGAGATGCTCTCCTTCTGCCGTGTTTACACTTTCAAACTTTTAGTCGGCATTCTTTTGACAGGCTTTGATGCATTAATGATTCCTCTTGTCTCTGGAGTCTCCTGGTTTGTTCTCTCCCTGTTTACTCCAGAGTTAGCTGCGCTCTTTCATCAGAGCTGGAATTCCCCCCAGCTTCTCAACTTTTACCCAAAGCGTGTCAGAGAGGCGTGAAGTATGGAGAGGAAAAAGTATTTTTGAGAAGTGTGGGCTGTCATTCTCTTCTGCTCAGTTTAATGGTGTTTGGCTGTGCTCTTCTTCACATCCTTTTTAAGATTTTTACTGTGGATTTTTTGGGGGTTAGTTAGAACAGAACTCATGAAATTTAACCTTTATGTTACAAGAAATATCCGTTTTTGTCCTCTCTGCTGCAATCCAAACTAAAGAAGTTGGAGGTTGTAGAATATGTAAATAAAAAGKGTATGCATTGATTAGCACATTTCACAAATCCATATTTTATTCACGGTGGATCATATTAAACATCATTTTTATAAAACTAAGAAATAGTTTCATTTTTAAATTTGATGGCAGCAAAAAAAATTTTAAACATGGTCAACAAAAGGCTGTAAAACTAAGTGGTATGACTGAAAAACAGCTAGAGAAGCGTTTTGCAAATAACTAAGTTAGTTAGCAACGAGTCAGAATGAGACTGAGTTTAAAAAAGCAATTTAGAGAGGTTGAATCTCTCAGAAGTAAAGACAGGCAGAGGTTTACTAGTCTGAAAAACTGAACATAGTAAAACAGTTTTAGATAGTGTTGCTGCCATCAAATTCAAAATTATATTTAAAAAAGGTACAATTTCTGAGTTTACCATGTGATATATGTACTGCAGTTTGTTCCATTACAAATTAAATAAATGCATATTGTTTTTATTCACATTTTACTTAACTGCACAAACTTGGGTTGTTTTTATACTATATGGACAACAGTATCTGACCACTAGGGTCTGCAAGGAGTTTTTCGCCCTTTTGCAGTTACAGCATATATTAACATCCATATCTGTTTATACACTGACAGACTGTTTTTTACCTGCTTACTCAAACATATTCATGTTGTAGTWATATAATGGACGTAGACTTAAAAGTCCAGTCTTTCAGCTTTTATTTGAAGGTATCCAAATTAAAATTGGKTGAAGGGTTTAGGAGTTCAGCTCCTTAACATGTTCCCACCCTGTAATTGGACAGTTGACTCCAAGGCTATTTCATGGACAGGTGTGGGCAGTTCCTTCGTTATGTCATTCTCAGTTAAGCAGATAAAAGACCAGGAGTTAATCTGAGGTGTTCTTGTTGCATTTGGAAGGTTTTGCTGTGAAGTAAACATGTGGTCAAAGGAGCGCTCCATGCAGGTGAAACGAGCCATCCTTAAGCTGCAAAAACAGAAAAAACCCATCTGAGAAAATGCTACAATATTAGGAGTGGTAGTTTTGTACATCCTGAGAAAGAAAGAAAGCACTGGTGAACTCATCAATGCAAAAAGACCTGGATGCCCACAGAAGATAACAGTGGTGGATGATGGCAGAATAAATTCCAGGGTGAAGAGAAACCCCTTCATGATGCAGGCATGTTAAAATCCAAATCTACCATAAAGACAAGACTGCATGAAAGTAATTGCAGAGGGTTCACTCATAAGCCTCAACAATACAAAGCCTAGATTGAACTTTGCTAACAAAAAAAAAAACATCTAAAAAGCACAGCACATCTGGAAGAACGTTCTTTGGACAGATGAAACCAAGATCAACCTCTGCCAGAATGATGGAAAGAGAAAAGTCTGGTGAAGATGTGGTACAGGTCATGATCCAAAGCACCACATCATCTGTAAAACACAGCAGATGTCTGATGAGTCCAGGAGTTTAAGACTTCAGCCACTGCCCACAAATGTTTTTCAATTAATTATTAGAAATAAACATTTTATTTACAATTATTTCATTTGTCCAATTACTTTTGAGCCCCTGCAATGAAAGGATTGTGTTTAAAAGATGCTTTAGTTCCTCACATTTCTAAGCAATCATTTTGTRCAACCCACTGAATGAAAGCTGAGAGTCTGAACTMCATCTGAATTGTTTTGTTCTAATTTCATTGTGGTAATGTACACAGCCAAAATTAGGAAAARGTTATCTAAATCCAAYTAGTTATGGACCTAACWGTWACACTTCTCCATAAAGGCTTTCCACAAGGTTCTGAAGTGTTTCTTTTGAAATTTGTGCCCAAGACTGTTGAGTGTTACCAGGGCAGGAGTAGAGAGCGTGATGAGGATGTAGGCGTTGGAATCGAGGAAGTGGAAAATAACATAGGAAATCCTATTTGGTGAGTACCAAGAGTGTAGTAGCATCATGATTACTTTCACACGTAAGGCGATTTACTAAATCTGCTGTAACTGAGCCACGTTCTTGCAGGTTGTGMAGAGTGTTAAAGGGTCTTCATCATGTGAAAACAGGGCTTTCGAAAAACTGTAGAGTCGAGAATTAAATATGGGAGTCAAACTTATTATGATTCTTTTGTGACAAGATATTTATATTGTGTAGAAAAATGAGTATAGCTGATGGAAACACATGTAACTTATCTCTATTCTAGTGAAAAGATATAAGTTATGTAAACCTGTCCGATGGCGCTCTTTTTTCTTTCTGTCACACTGAGGTAATTTAATGCTCGAAGCAAAGCTTCTCAGGCATGAGACACTTGTGCGATGCGAGTCATCTCTTGTGAGGAGACAAATGAGAACGACAAAGGAGGGAAATAAAACCAGACAGTATAAAAGAAAGGCGGGTGAGCGTAYCATTTCTGAGTTGTATCTGTGAGCTGCGATCACTCTGAATGGAGCAACAGGAACGGGGGGGTGGGGGGGGGGGGGGGTCATTGCTCCCCAGAGCCTCAGTCTGTCAGCACATATTCAACAACAGAGCCAACATACATTCATACTGACAGAGCTGGACTCAACCACTGTAAACAATCCAAATCCTGATCTGAAGACATCAGGTAAACAAGGATGCYGTTCTATTTTAGCAGATTCTGTTTGTTTAAACATGACTTTGTGTTAAGTTTTTCCTTTAGCCATCATCAAACATGAAACAGTAGCAGCCTGGAAATATTAGATTAGATTAGATTAGACTTTATTTATTGAACGTAATGAATTTAAAAGAATAAACAAAGTTATGTACAAAAGAAAAAATAAATTTAAAACCAAAAACAAGAACAACAATAATGAATTATATTTATACGTTCAGAGGAGTGGGTAGAAGTAGAAACTTATTTTTTACACCCACCCCTCTTACATCTAAAAAAAATACTCCATAATTACAACTTATATTAACTTGGTTGGAACATTCTTTCTTTTTAAAATATTTTCTACATCCATATCTTTAACTTAAACAAAACGTTCATTTTTTTGCATCCATAATTTTTAATACATTAACGATTTTTTAATAAATCATAGTACACTGACAATTTCTTCAAACAAAACATTAATGATAGCAGCAATTACCATATTTATTTCTCATAATGATATGCAGTGATGACCATCTTCTTAAAAGACATTTTAAACTGTTTTATATTTGGACATTGCTTGATTTCCATACATAAACCATTCCACAGCTTCGCCCCATGTACTGATATACAAAAGCTTTTTCTTGTGGTTCTATATTTTAAAATTTTGAATTCACATTTTCCCTTAAATCATAAAGTCCTTCCTTTAAAAAAAAGCTTTTGAATGTTTCTTGGTAAGGAATTATTTTTGGCTTTAAAGAAAATAATAGCCGTTTGTAAATTCACTATGTCAGTGAATTTTAAAAGTTTAGATTTCATAAATAGTGCATGTGTATGATCCAAATAACCAACCTTATTGATTATTCTTATTGATTGTTTTGTAATGTTATTATTGACTTTATTGAAGTTTTGTAGTTGTTGCCCCATAACTCTGCACAATTTGGTCTCCTGAATAAATCTTCTGTGCCTGAATGATGATAAAAAACAGAAAATATTCAAAAACCAAGAATCCATTCAGTATCTATGCATCTGAATGCCCCAGCAAGTAATGGGTGAGGGGGCCTGTTTTGGGAAAAACTTGCCCTTGATCCAAGATGGCAGCCATATACTGGACAGCCTAAAAGATAGGCCCATTTCCCCTTTTCTTTATAATAGAAAAGTGCATCCTGCAACTTTTGACTCACTCTGTTTTCTTTTTATCTGCTTCGTTCTTGATGAAAATGTTTAATGTCTCACATTTTTCTTTATTTATAAACTTTTAAAAGGCAAAAAGAAATTAAAGAGAATATTTATACCAAGAGATTCTTCAAGTTTTCAAGATAAAATACATCTTGGTGATTTCTAAAGGGACAAAAAGTAAAACAACCATCGTATAAGTCACAGTTTTATTAACAAAGGACATGAATAAAACAGCAATAAAGCCAGTAAAACTGGCCAAAACTACAGATTTGATTTAGGAGTCCTTTAGTCAGCTGTCTGTTTTTTTTTTTTTTTTACCACAGGAGCAAAGAGCTTTAATGGGAAGCAGGAGCAACACTGTAGTTCTAATTCCTCCATCATCTCTGCTTGTTCTTTTATAGTTAGCCAGTTTAACCCAGTCTGAGCACGCAGAGGCCATAAGAAGTCAACGACCCCCACGAGAGGTCCCGAGGACAATCAGTGCATTTTATGACCCAGGAGCAACACAGGATCCTTCTAATCCAGAGAGAAATTCTATTTGAAATAAGGAAAAGAATAAGTTTGAGTCTTGCTGAGTGTTATGTAGCACTTTGAGGCTTTTTTTTTGTCTTGAAATAGAATTATAGCCTGTCAGAGTCTCTGAAAGGAGCTAACATCATCTGTGAAAGACTTTCAGTGAGGGAGAAAGGAGTGATGTGGCTTTTTTTCTTTAAAGAAAACCTGGATGTTGTATTTGCCCTGTTTTTTTTTTACAACAGCATGCCTCCCTTTAAAGGCTGCTTCGCACCAAAAAGGCCACAAGCACTCCTGACGGCAAGAACACAAAATTATCACCACAATACCAACTCTTTATAAAGAAAGGAAATCATGCAATCCTGACTTTTTTAAAAATAAAGGTTCACTTTTTATCTTTTATGCTTCAGCTCCTTCTTTTGGTTCCTTCCCCACTTCGTCTGATTTCTTCCCAGCTCCATCCTCTTCCTCACCTCCTCCGCCGCTCGGACTGAAAACATGCCTCTCGCCTGTGTTCTCCTCCAACATATTAACGGTGTGGATGCACTGTAAGAGAAGTGTCATTAATCTCATCGTCCCGTGAGGATTGTGTTGTTTGTGTGAGTAACGAGCTCTGGATGTCTGCACTGTGTCTCCGTTGTCTCTAATTGGTGCAGCGTGACTCTATTAGAGGGATTAAGAGTAATTACCGTTGACTCTGGCGTGGGAATCTAACCTTCCTGCTTCACGGGTTTGACATCTTTTAGATGTTTGAGGGGCTTCACGTTGCTCAATAATTTGTTTCCACCAGCAAAAAACATCTAAGGGAAAAAAAATAAACAAATCCCTGTTGGTTTATGAGATATTTTGCTAACAGAGAAGGTTGACTCTGAGGGGCGTTGAGTCYTTGGTTTTCTGACGCCTTCTTTCAGCTGGCGACGCCTCAGGGCATTGTGCTGATCTTCAGCTTATGTCTGTAAGTTGATTTTTTTGTTCTTTGTGTAATTTTCATAAATGCTGAAAGAGGCGTGTGGGTTACTGCCGTTATTTTTTGGAGACAGAGAAAGACACAAAGAAATCGATTTGATTTTGATTCAAAAGGTTCTGAACCATTTAATCTTGTTTCAGTTTAATTCAGTTTGCTCTTAAATAATGAAAATAGTTCAACTGTGTTGCAGGATACACATTTACGTTATTTTACTCTTCACCATAAACACCGTACTTTAAGGGCAAACTTCAATTGGACAGTTTAATTTTGAACTGCAAACAAAATTGTTTCAAGTTTCAAAGGTTTTAAATTAAAAATGAATTGCAGGTGAAAGTGTTGGATACATTCATTTGTAAGAAACTAAGAATAATTTTCTGGATAAATAAGAAGTGATGGGAATAATGTCACAGGAGAACTGATGTTGATTGACTCTTATAGTTAATGTCAAAACAAGGACCTTGCTTGAGTTGAAGATAACTCTAAAGGTAGCTGAGTAAACCTTAGCTTAGCATCTGCTAAATGGTTGTTTTGTCTTTTTTGCAGCTGGCAAGAAAAAAACTTTCCTCCAATCATCTCACATTTGCTAAAATTTAATTTTCCTTCGATATAAAATTGCTAATAATCTTATTTTTCGGTTTGCTCACCAACCTGTTCTCCTGGTTAATTCTGAATTTTTAATGAACTCTGTCCCTAGGCTCATCTGAAATGAGTTGGTAATGGCACATTGTAATTGAAAATAAAGTCAAAATAATGAAACTCATAAGTTTTCAGCATCTGTTTCGTGATTTAAAAATATATAAAACGGTGTGAGCCGTCCTATAACCTCAACATTACAACTTTTTATTGCTTCAAGAAAAAGCTTTTTCTCACAGATGAGTTTATCCACTTATTACCTATTTCCATTTTGTTTTTAATAATCCTTTAATCCAAGAACCATTCATTCTGCCTTGGATCTGCTCCACTCTGTCTTTTTCTATTTTCATCTTCCAAGAAGAGTGCCAAGAAAAAATGTGTCGAAGTTACGCTAAAATAAKGAGTCCTTCAAGCTGGAAGTCCTGATTTGCCAAGAGAAAAAGCTTGGAAGCTTATTCCTTGTATATTTTTTAGTTTTTTGCCAAATGTTTTTTGATATTAATTTCAACCCTATTTTATTCGGAAATCTAAAACACAAARGAAACTTTGGCATAAGATTGTTTTTTTTATATGATTGCACTTTCTGATATGCTCCTTTATTTCATCACCTAAAAATTAGCAATTTAAAAGGTACAAAAATGATAATAATCTGTGTCGGCCTCATGTTTTTGTCAACTAAAGTATTTTATTTTATTTGTTATCCCCGAATAAATTTAATTTGGGCCAAAAAAATACTATGGTTCCGAATTGGGTTTTGGTCTGGGTCAGGTATGTGTACCTGTGAGGTGAGGTTTAAAGTAAGGAGTCAAGGTTAGGCTGTTGAAATGAGCAGTAATTGAATGAAAGTCAATGCAAAGTCCCCATGAGGATAGAATAACAAATGTGTGTGTGTTCAGGCAACGCAGGCAGGTGCAGGACTGCTGTTCCTCTTGTGATGCAGCTTGCAGACACACTTAAGACACATAAATACCTTCAGTTCAGACAGTTTTTTTCCTGTTTACATTTTTGGGTTTGTTTATGTTATCTCTTCCTCTGATAGTTCAAATCCCAGCTTTGATGTCTCTGTCGTGACTGRGATCTGAAACTGAACCTCCCCGCTGCCAATGCTGGAGGGACAAAACAGAGAACGACCACAGAATTTAGACAATTGCCTGCAGGGTGGGGAGGAGGAAGTTGAGGTGGGGGCTCAGATGTGAGTGCAGATCAGATCTGGAGTCTGACCTGCTCAGTTTTCTGTCCGAGTGACAAAGATTTACTGCAGAGGATGAATTTAAAGATTATCTTCAAGCTCGCAGATAATCAACTCTCTGCTCGCCACAAGTCCAGCATCACCCCGACTTATTGATCAAATGGATTTACTTTTTTGTTATTTTCTGTTGGACTTTCCCCTCATTTCATGCAGTGAGGGTCTGCACACATTTCTCTCCAGTTGGGGAGCAGAGAAGTTCCCTAACGTGAACCATCAGACTGCTTCTCTGTYAATATTAAAGCCTGGTGTGGATTTAGTTTGGTTCTGTGTTTTAAAATCCAACTTTAAGGGTTAAATATGTAACTGCATTGTTAAGTGTCTTAATTCTTTAAGTCAACAAGGACATTTGTATAAGTTTATAAAATTAACTCACAGTTAACCTCATCAGCTTAAAACACTGCCTAAAACACTCATATCAGCACGCTCCTTTTTCTATACAAACTTCTCAGTCAGAAATCGGCCTGACCCTAAAGCTTGTTGAACTTTATTTTACATGAGCAAATAACTTTTAAAGATGAACATCATGTTTTATTGGAGAAAACTCCAACCCTGTGATTAGGAGTATAAACTCAGGAAAGCAAGGCGGCAGTTTTTATTTTCAGAAGCACCGTTTCATGCTGTCTATTTTTGAACAAAGTTTGAGGGTTMTTTTATGGTTGCTTGAAGCATTCAGATTATTAAAGCCAAACCTCTTTTCAAATCTCTTTTTCACTGGAAATCCATAGTAAATATAAATAGACATYAAAATGGATCTTTGTAAGACAGAAATGAAATCTTGTTTTATTTCCTGCTTCTTCCCCTGTTGACTAAGGTATACAACTCACTGCTAATGAGCCTCATGTAGGTGAAATGTCTTATTAGGCAGCACCAGAAATGGACAAAGGCCTTTCATGAACTTTGACCTTTTTAGAAATAATGATGAATGGCCGCCACTGTTACTGTGACAATACACACGTTTTCCCTTGTTTGCGCACGTGAAATGATAAATTAACACATCAGGCAGCTGTCAGTCTCTTCACTTGGATTTCTGCAAAAAGATCTATTGAATAATAAGATGCAGGATGATTGTTAAAAGAATTGTTCACTATTTTGAAAAAAAGKTTTCTGTATAAAAGCTAAAAACTGTTTATTAGCTTATCAGTTGCAGAAAGCTTTTTGAACATCATGCATTAGGGAAAAATAGATTTTTGGACCAATCAGAAAATYGACAAGGAGTGGATTGTTCTTGTTTTAAAGCAACTCAAATCTTTCCTAGTGGTTCGTTCAAATTCTATCATATCATTCTTTAGACTGGCATCAGTTTTACGTTACATGGTCAGAATTTTAGGGTTAGTTTTAAGCATAAATAGCGGCACTTCTGCTGCAGACAGGGTTCCCATTTGACAAGAATTTTATAATATTTTTGRTGAAATTACCATGAAGTACAAAATTGATGGCAGTAAAAAGGTTGAAATATTAGCCTTTGCATAAAGTGTAATGAAAATTTGAAGCTTGAAGTTGTTTTAAAACAGAAGTACTTTGTTTTGGGACTGGGTCCATTGGACGTAACCATTTTATCTCATTATACTGTAAACCCACTTCCCATAGAAATGTTTGCTGTCTTAAAACAGCTGCAACCTTCAAAATTTCCCAGCATTTTATGCAAATGCTATTTTATTAACCTTTACACCAAATATGTTTTGCATTATCCTTTTAATGAAGCAAAAAAATGATGGAATTCCAACCAGATGGGACACTTGTTTGTCACTTCAAAATGACCAAACTYTTTGTTTACGTGGAGGACTTGCATGATCTGTTAGGCTGCAGCCACTAAGTGGGAGTTTCTTGGGTGTGGGCATTGTTAGGTTAAGCCGTGATTGGTCAGATTGACTTGTAGGAGGGGCTAAAAGGTGTGCTGTATAATGGTAATTAGTAAAGGTCTTGTGAACATTTAAATATAATTTATCTAATGTCTATTTATAGTTTAAAATAGAACATTGGGCTCAAAAAATTATTGGGAACATGGAAATATAGGCTGTGTCCAAATTCAGGGGCTGGGTCCTTCTAAAAACCTGGAC